TTGGGGGGGGGGGGGGGTACTGGGTGGTGCTGGCAGTGCCACACACTGCTTTAAACTTCAGCTGAGCCAGCAGGATTTGGCTGAAATTTGAGTAGTGTTTGCTCAGCTTTAGGTACAATTATACTTTGTGATGCATCAAAAAAAAAAAGGGGGGGTCATACTTGAGCAACAAGTTTCAAGATTAAATATATCTCCGCTAAGAGTGGTTCGTGCTGACCACAGCAATAGATCAGATTCTTCCATTTATTTCCATTTTGGAGAAGCTAATTGATTTCTGCCAGGGGTTGGGACAGTCTTTGTTTCAGTCCCAGTGTAAAATATCTAAAGTTCAAGGAATGCTTTAAATGTAACTGGGTTATTTCTATAATTTTTAGTCTTCAGTAAGCAGTGGTCCTGTGCTGTTTTCACAATCTACATATTGCATTCTTGCTGTGTATCCCTCTAATGCACTTTTCTAGCGAGCTGACAAAATTTGTAGATACCCCTTCTTTTTTTTTTTTCCTCTGACATGTTTGCCACCGTTGTGGTTATAGAAGCATTCGGTTTCCAGCTGTTCCTCTCATCTCTCAGCCAAGGCCTGGAATAGCAGGAATACCAAATGAAAGCTGTGGCAGACACCATTACTTCCCCTCATTCCTGGGCTATAGATACACATCAACACTGTCAACAAAGACTACAGACCATTCATAAGTACACACGAACACAATAACACCTGCTTGACTCACTATAATGTGTATTATTTCAAATATCAGACTGTCATCAAATCAGACCGAGGTCACTACATGCACCCACTGTCTTTTATTCCTAGCGTATTGTCTGCCTCTACTAATATTCTTGCTATTCACAGGCTAAGGTGCATTGGCTCCAGAGTTAGTGATGATTTTAAAACAAGATGGCACTTCATTGTATTGAAGTGTTAGATGAAAGAAGATGCAATGATTTTTAAAGGAAAACCTTCTTTTTTTTTTTTACCTCTTCATATATTGACATGAAGGGATCCCCTTCTTGTTTGAATGTAATGCGGTCATTGGTAGAGCTTGGCTTTTGCTCCCATCTTTTGGTGAAAACTGGTATTTTGGTGCCATGGAGGATCCCACTACTTTTGACCAGTGATTGTGGAAGGTGTTACTACAGGGAAGACATGGGCAAAGAGAAGATTGCACTTTTCTTGGAAACACCCTTTAAAAAGAAAAAGAACATCACACTTTTGTGGCCTGTGATTGCATATCCAAGTTTTACTGTCCAAAACCATTCACTTCTTCAACAAACGAAATGATGAACTTTGTTTTATTTAGAGACGTGTTCATTAGTACAGGTGACAGTTGGTTAGTCACAAGACCCATTTTTTCCTTGTTTCTCCTTTTATACAACTTGCAGTTTCTGCAGCTAGAAAGGGTTATGCACAGAGAGAATAATATCTAAAGTAGCAATGTGTCTGCACTTCTGCAGTTCACAATTTAAAAGATACTGTCAAAGTATGGGGAATCCTGCTAATCGAGATATATCTCAAACCTTGTCTCAAAATATCACCCTAACCGCCCCCTCCGCTCCTCCCAAGACCTCCTGCTTTCCAGCTCCCTTGTCAACTCCTCCCTTGCTCACCTCCAGGACTTCTCTAGCGTCTCTCCCATCCTCTGGAACTCCTTACCCCAACCTGGTCGTCTATCTCCCACCTTGACAGCCTTTAGGCGTTCCCTAAAGACTCATCTCTTCAGGGAAGCCTATCCCACCTCAACCATCACGTTCTCAAACAACTGATCACCACAGAGCTATCTCCTCATGTATCACGTGCCCCTCCCTTTTAGATTGTAAGCCCTCAGGGGCAGGGCTCTCCTTACCATCTTGTCTTGAATTGTATTGTGATTGTAATGTCTTCCTTATATTGTAAAGCGCGGCGCAAACTGTTGGCGCTATATAAATCCTGTATAATAATAATAATCGAGCACACCAATTCATGTATAGCGAAGGGTCCAATTATAGCAGCTCATTTATCCTTGCTATGTTATGGGTGTGGTGGAGTTTTGCGGTGGTTCACCTTATCACTACATCAGTCATAGATATTGTACTCCTGCATCGTCTGCGTAATGGAATGCATTAGCTTATGTACCAGGCATGACACAGTGTTTTTATGTTTTAGAATTTCAGAAGCTATGGAGGAGTGTACCGGTAGACTCCATGGATGATGAAAAGATTGAGGAATATCTGAAGAGACAGGGCATTTCCTCTATGCAGGACACTGGACCAAAGAAAGCTGTATGTATTTCAGCAGAGTTTTATACGTCTCTAAAATGTATAGTTAAATAGGAATGACCAAATGTATCAAATTGTGAATATGTTGTGTGATGCTCCTGGCTTTACTTTGTCCAATGTGACTTCATTGGACAAAAGTGAGCTTTGTAGTGTAAGTGTGAGGCAGCACTAGACCTTGTCAGTGGTGAGTAAGTCCTAGGGGTGAGTCACTTTAAACTCCAGCTGATTAAGTACCACTGATCACTTTGTTTTTGGCAATTAAAGAGCCAGCGTGTTTAAGGAATTGGAGCTCCCCCTTCTTCAGGGCTTTGGTAGTGTTAGTTCTGTTGGTCACGGGCAGTGCAGTCTGTGTCGTAATTTAATAACTGTGTTGTGGAGTGTCTGCTTTGCCTGCAGAGGCAAACTCAAGTTTGCCACTGTAGGCACCCCGGAACACCATTAGCCTATTAGGGCATAGACTGCGGTGCGCATGACAAACAGATCTAACACTACCAAAGCTCTGAAGAAATCTACTGAAACATGTTGGCTATGTTTAATGTTGTACAATAAAGTGATCATCGTTCTTCAATTGGCTTTGTGTTTATGCATGGCACTCCTCACCCACGTCTACAATTTTCATTTGACAGAGGCATGGTAGGGGGCTCGTGGGACGAGGTTCTGTGTAGAACAGCTTTTAGTCTAACTGATATAACCTGGCCTTAGATATAGTTACTGTTGTGGGATCAAAGTTGAGGGTCTTAGGAGGATGTGGCCCCTGAATTCTTTATATAGGGACCTGGAAGTGGCGCAGGAGGTAATAGGAGACATGACACCTTCTGATAATAAGCGTATTGTTCTGTAAAAAGTGGTGATTATTGGGGGCATGGTTCTATAGCAGGGGTGGGGAACCTCTGGCCCTTCAGCTGTGGTGAAACTACAAATCCCTTGATGCATCTGTCTCTCGTAGTCATGCCTGTGGTTGTGAACATTTTGCATGGGATTTGTAGTTTCACCACAGCTGGAAGGCCGGAGGTTCCCCCACCCTGTTCTATAGAAAGTGGTGACTAATGGTAGCATGGTTCTGTGGAAAGTGTGGTGATTAATGGTGGCAAGCTTCTGTGGAAAGAGGGTTAATTGATAGTGGCAGGTTCTGTAGAATGAGTGGTGACTTGTGGCTCCGTGGAAAGAGTGGCAATTATTGGTGCGGTGGCACTGTGGAAAGTGGCAATTATTGGTGCCATGGCTCCATGGAAAGAGTGGTGCTGACCGCATGGTTTTGTAGAAAGAGTTGTGATTAACTGGGGCATGATGATTAATGAGTCATGGTTCTGTGGAAAGAGTGGTAATTTAATGGGAACATGGTAAGATTTAATTAGTAGTCTGTTCTGTTAGTGTGTGTGTGTGTGTGTTCTAAGAGGATGTCTGCTGTTAGTAGGTTTAATGTAAAATAAAGCTTCCTTACCCTATTTTTAATCTTTTTTTATGTACATCTTTCAGCTCCCAGTACAAAAGAGGAAGTCGAACTCACAGAAGAAACGCAGGTTTAAGACTCACAATGACCATTTGGCAGGAGTACTGAAAGATTACACAGATGTTACTCCTGGCAAACCGTAATGGTGCCGTCATCAGACATGAGGATGTTTACAGAGTAACCTCACCACAGACTACTCTACTTAGTGCTTATTGCCTTTAAGCCTGGAAGATTCCCCTGATCAGTTAATTTATACTTTCAAGTGTTACCTTTCCCAGGGGTCACAGGCAAACGGACTCCTGTCTTTTAGGATATGACCAAGTATTAAGCCTTTGAATTACAATCGCATGAATAAAATATCATTTTCTCCTGTAATTCAGCTTATGTCCGTGCCTCAGTATGGCTTGTATTGCAGGGCTTTGTACTTGTGCACAAATCCCAACAGTGTCAGAGTTCAGCAGCTGAGTTGTGTCTTTATTGTATATAGCAGCAGATTTAGTTTTTTTTTTTTTTCTTTTCTATTTTTTTGCTCGGTGTGTTATTACAACACTATTTTATATGCAAATTTGCAGTGCAGTGTCTGTTTGCCTCTTGTTTACTAAAATAAAAGTAATTTCAGTTCCTGAGAGTCATGGTAATTTCTCATTGCAACTGTTTATAAATGTGTGTGTGTGTAAGTCAAGGAATTCTACACTTGTAAGACTTGTGTAGAGAAGATCCTTAAAACAAAACTACAAGCAGGTTAAAGGAACACAAATACAAGTAGGTATGTGTTTAATAAAAAGTCATTACATGTATTTTCTAAAGCAATTCATGTGAGTACCTGAATTTTACTTAGTATCGCCCTCTTCAAATCTCCTGTACAGCAGAGCTTAAGGTGGCTGAGGGAGAAGCAGTAAATTTGTTTAACTGTTTTTTCTGGAGTTCATCTTTAAAGCCAACTGTGGGCTACATATTTTTTTTTTTGGTCCCCAAAAGGAATTAACCACTTGCCCGCGGGTTGCCGTAACTTGATGGCATTTCTTTTCTGCTCGCGTGCGAACGGGCAGAAAAAAACAGTCCGATGTAAAGAGCCGTTACCGGCTGTTTCACATACACACAATCGGTGGCCCTATAGCCTGCCGATCGTGTGTATGTGCTGGCTGCGTGACCCCCCTTCCCCCCTCGAGTGCCGCCACCCCCTCCTGACCCCTCACCTTCAATCCCAGGATCCGCTGCCCCATCTGCGCCTCGGGAGGGTGTCAGGAGGGAGAACAGCATCTTCCTCCTTGCTGATCTCCCTCTGTCCTGTGAATGCAGAAGTAATGTGTAATACCTCACTTCCGCATTCACCTGTCAGTCATCTGGCTGCTATAGCCAGAGGGAAGAAGCTGATGAGGCAGATCTCTGCTTTATCAGCTTATTTTGGGGTCCCCAGGTGACATTAGGGGTCTTAGAGACCCTTAATGTCTCCATAAAGAGGACCTGTCAGTGTGCCTTTGCTATTACATAGGGGGATAACAATCCCCCTATATAATAGCAATGACATTAAGTGTAAAAAAACATAAAAAGAGTACAAAAAAAAATAAGTCGCATGTAAAAAAAGCCCCAAAAAACTTAAGTCCCCTATCCCCACGTTTACGCACTTATAAAATGTAAATACGTGTCCGGTGCACCAGCGCGCGAAAATGACAATTGCACTACAATTGTTGCATATCGCCGCGAGTGTGAGCAATAATTTTAGGGCCATCAATCACTGATAACACTAAACTGATGAGCGGTAAAAGCTTTTAAAGCATCGCCTATGGCCAAGGTTTCACGCACGCAATTTTAAGGCTTGATATGTTTGGTGTCTTTTTACCCGACGTGACCCCGTCTTTTATATTTTACCAAAAAATTGGGTAATAATAAATGTTTTATCATTTAATATAGGGGAAACTGGTTTTGTTTTTTTAAATGTTGGTAATTTTTCCTTTTAATATAGTAAAAAATAAAACCCCAGTGGTGAATAAATACCACCAAAAGAAAGCTCTATCTGTCCCCAAAAAATTGTATAAAATTGATTTCAGTACAGCGTTGCATGACGGAATAAATGTCAGTCAAAGTACCGCAGCGCTGAATACTGAAAAATGGCCTGGATGGGAAGGGGGTTTAGCACCGCGGACTTCAAGTGGTTAAACACACAAAGTACCGGCTGCCATACAGATCTCTTCTCTGATGCTGCCCCTGCAGTAACTCTTCCCCATTACAAGATGTCCTCTGTGTCCTGGATTAAATGATGCTCTTTAAAGTCAATGATGTTGCCGGCATGTTGTCACTTTGTTCATATGCAGGGCGTGAAATGCAGCTGGTTGGACGTGCTCCAACACCTAACTACTGGGTTCAGATGAGCTTGGCTTGGACCAAACCTGAGCTCATGCCTACTGCTCAGGACATACTGTGAATGCAGGGCATCACCCAAAGAGCAGCTAAAGACTTCTCAAACAGTTGGGTGAAAGAAAAAAAATAAGGCAAAAATACATGCTGGGGTGGAGGGAGGAGCCCAGAGTTACGGCTTCAATGTTTTTTTGGATCACTGTGCCTAACCAAACATAAATACATTAAAAACTTCAAGTCATTCAACCTGCTCATTAGTGCTGTCCCCCACTGTACCTCTTCTCCAATACAAGTTGTTCTCCATCTTCGGGATTGAAATGATGCCATATCAGATTATTGATGTCACCAGCATCCTGCCACTTTGTTTACGTGTGGCTTCAGGGTGGGGAATGCCCCGGCCGCAGCTAATGGGGCACGCATTGACACCTAACTTCTGGATTCAGATGAGCTTGGCTTGTGGCTTACAATATAGTGTGTACACAATATACCCAAAGAGCACATTTCTATTAAAATCAGGTCTACTAAGAAAGTTTGCAAAAGCAAAGCAATGTTTCTTAAGGTGCCCATACACTGCACGATTCTCGTACGAGAATCGCGGGAAATCCCGCGATCGTACGAGAATCGTGCAGTGTATGGAAGGCGTGCGACCGTTTCTACTGTACGGTCGCACGTGTTCCGTCGAACCAGCATGCTAGAAAACCCGCCGGGAATCGTAAGATTCTCGGCGAGTTAGTGGCCTGCTGGTTCGACAACTGCCGAACGGGCCGGTGTGCGCACGCGCACACTGCCCGTTTCCAGTCATTGTAACCCTGCCCCTCATTACAGTCATCGTAAGCCCGCCCCTCAGGGGGGTTGGCTTGCGATGATCGAGAGTACGATCTTGCTGAAGAGTACGAGCATGCTGAAGTGCACAGTGCGCAGAAGTCGCCAACTGTCTGCAGAGTCAATAGCTACAGACCTCCAAACTTCGTGTGGCCTTCAGATTGGCACAACAACAGTGTGTAGAGAGCTTCATGGAATGGGTTTCCATGGCCGAGCATCTGCATCCAAGCCTTACATCACCAAGTGCAATGCAAAGCGTCGGATCCAGTTGTGTAAAGCACGCCACCACTGGACTCTAGAGAAGTGGAGACGTGTTCTCTGGAGTGACGAATCACGCTTCTCTGTCTGGCAATCCGATGGATGTGTCTGGGTTTGGCGGTTGCCAGGAGAACGGTACTTGCCTGACTACATTGTGCCAAGTGTAAGGTTTGGTGGAGGGCGGATTATGGTGTGGGGTTATTTCTCAGGGGTTGGGCCTGGCCCCTTAGTTCCAGTGAAGGGAACTCTTAAGGCATCAGCATACCAAGACATTTTGGACAAGTTAATGCTCCCAACTTTGTGGGAACAGTTTGGGGATAGCCCCTTCCTGTTCCAACATGACTGAGCACCAGTGCACAAAGCAAGGTCCATAAAGACATGGATGAGCGAGTTTGGGGTGGAGGAACTTGACTGGCTTGCACAGAGTCCTGACCTCAACCCGATAGAACACCTTTGGGATGAATTTGAGCAGAGACTGTGAGCCAGGCCTTGTCCAACATCAGTACCTGACCTCACATATGTGCTTCTGGAAGAATGGTCAAACATTATTATTATTATTACATAGTATTTCAAACATTCCCATAGACACACTCCTAAACTTTGTGTACACCTTCCCAGAAGAGTTGAAGCTGTTATAGCGGCAAAGGGTGGGCCAACTCAACATTGTACCCTACGAAATATTATTTGGTGCAATATTCCAATCCTATCTACGACAAAATTAAAGGAATGTCAACATTCTTTATCAGATTATACCAGAATGTAGAATAATTGAAGTGTGTTGCATGTGGAAACGTGTTAAACTAGGCATAATCTATATTATAAATAATTGAAAATTGATGCACTGTTGCCAGGGTGATGCCAGTTTCAAGACTCCAACTTGTTTTCTTTTTTTCTCATAAATTCAAGTTCATATGTTCCTATAATAATGCAGAGCAGTGAACAGGCAGAAAATCATCTGCTGCTGGTTATTTGTTAAAGAACCACCTATTGAATCCCCCCCCCGCTTGAATGTGATCCTTGGTAATTGCACTCAATAGGGTTTGCACTTAGTACCTGTCTGGTTAAGTTTATTTCATAGCATAAATGGCCCAGTCCATTCTACAGCTGTAATGTGTGACGTGTGTAATGCATTGCAGTGACACCATGGGACATTCCTGAAATTAATGGCTAGTCCATGTTTTCAATATGGGCACCTTGCCCTGTCAGCTTGCATGCATCTGCTCCCTTAATCCCCCACGTGAAGAAAAATCCCAGCAATGTATCTCCTTTAGTGATGGAAGTAGGTACTGTAATCACTATCTCACACTATCTCTCTTGCATCTCCATATTTTATGTCATGATAAGGGAATTATCTGTGTGGGTTGCTCATTCCAGATATAGTCCAAAGCAGCTGTTTCTGATTATCTGTATGAAGATCTTCTAAGCCAGCCCATGGGGTGATGCTTTAAAGCCAAGTCCAATTTAAACCAAATCCTGTTTTCAGTTGCAGGAGCCTAACCTAAGTAACATTGAAGCCCATTTCTTGGCTGGTATTAGTTGTGGATACTTTTGCCCTTTTCACTGTTCTCTATTCTCCTTGTTACATAAGATAACTAGATGTGGAACACAACCAGTGTCTATGTCTAGCCTTAGTAATGGCTGTATTGTTGAGCAGTGTCAGTGGACATAAAAATGCATCTAATTATGTAAAGGATTCTACATTCACACAGATATATTTTTAAGTATTTTGGAGGTAATACATTTCTCTCTCATGCAGTGGTAGCTTTTTTTTTTTCTTCTTCTTCTAATCGGTTATGAAAAAAGAAAACATAAAACAGGACAACCGATTACAGCATTCTTCATATACAACACAGAACAAAAAGAGTACCATATGGCAAACGTGTGCACTAAAGAAACACATGAGCACAGCAGCGAGGCACAATCCTACTGTAAGCACATTACATATCGTCGGAATGATTCATCAGCATCGTCCACCGCTAATAGAATTCACGTTCAATATCCCGAAATACTTATCCAAACCACATGGTCGTTACCACTCTACAGCAGAAGTATAGATGGACTAGCTGAAATGTAGAGCAGGTCCCAAATACGAAGAACAAAAACACTACTGTTAAGTAATGAAATTAAAAAAGACATTTCACCTCCTGTCCCCTTCAAACAGGAAAATGAACCAGTGGAGGACCTTTA